AGAAAGAAAGCCAGGCCTCCGCCTCCGCCCCCCGCGGGAGTCTCGCTGTCTGACCCGAGTTCTTGAACTGGTTTCTCTGGTTTAGTAAGCGATTAACTTCCCCGCCCCCTCGCGCCCCGCTGGCGAGACGCCTCGCCTCCCGGGCAGAGCGCGGAGAAGCAGGACGCGCCGGTGCGCCAGCGCTGCGGGAGCCAGCCAGGCAGCCGAGCACCCCGCTCTCTGTCCTCCCCTTCCCAGCCTTGCGGCAGCGGTCAGGCGCCCCGAGCCCTTAGCGCGACCCGGTGCGGTCCTGCTTGCTTCAGCCCTCGAAGGGCGAGCGCGGAAGCGGAGCGGGAAACCGAGCCGTCGGACCGCCATGGCGCAGTTTGGCCCGCGGGGTTGGCTGCTGGCCGTGGCCTTAAGCGCGACCCTCCGCGTCTGTCAGGCAGGTGAGTCAAATCGCGGGACCTCCTTGGAAAGGCAGGCAGGCAGGCAGGCTGGGTAGGTGGGTGCGTGCGTGGGTTCACACCCCAGAAGAGGCTCGAAGCCCCGGTGGGTTGTGCGAACCCAGCCCCTGGGGTCGGTCAGAAGTTGGGTTAAGGGGTAAACCGCGGGTCGGCAGATGGTGGATGAGAATGTTGTGCCAAGGCAGCCAGACTCTTGTACAGGAAAACAGTTCCTGAAAAGTCACCTGAGGAGGATGCAACCCCAGATCCCTTCCAGATGTTTAGGACCCCAACTTCTGCTAGTCTCAGTGGGCATGGCCAGGAATGATCTCAGAAAGCATCCGTAGACCTCTAGGTTACCTAACTCCTCAGTTAAGTATGCTGAATTAGCAGGGGGGAGAACAAGCTTTGAATCCCTATGAAGCTCACCGAAAGTCAGTTTAATGCCTCAGGCCATGACATGGTTGCTTATAATCTTGGTTTGTTGGGTGAGGAATGGTTGGATGAGTTCACCTTTCACTAAGCCATATACCATAATCCACAAAAGACTGGGTCCACACAAACAGCTAAACCAAAACCGAGTAAGCGACTTTTGTTGTCTTAAGCCCTAGTGTAGTCAACCCTTAGGTGCTGAATCAAGTAGGCAGAGGTTGAAGTCCATCCTCAGCCATGGAAGTTGATTGGGTGACTTTGAGCCTGTTGTGATCGTCAGCTGAGCCTACTTCGCAGGGTTTGATTGATGATGTGCCATCAAGTCATTTTTGACTGCTAGTGACCAAATAGATCATTGTTGTCCAAACTTGGCCACTTTAAGATAAGTGGACTTCAACTCCCAGAATCCCCAGCCCAGCCATGCTGGCTGGGGAATT